ACCAAAGATCAAGAAAAAAATTACTAAATGAAAGAAGGGAAAAAAGACAGAATATGTCCAAAGATGACTATCACACTGACAGCTAATTATTCAACAGTAATATTAAAAAGAAAAAACCAGTGGAAAAATACTTCTAAAATACTGGAAGAAATAACTCTCAATCTAAAATTCTATATCCAACAAAATTATCTTTCTAGTAGGGAATACAAATCAGAAAACAGCTTTATCATCAAAGACTTCTAAAGAACTTCTAAAGGATATGCTTCAGAAGGAAAGAAAATAATCCCAAAGTAAAGGATTAAATTGCAAGAAATACTGATAAGCCAAGAAAATTATAATCATAAGGGTAAATCTAAACAAACTCTACCTTTACATAATCAAATGATAATGTTGACTTATGAGGTTCAAAGAAAAGAACTAAAATACTGAGCATAGATAGCATATTTAAATTGGTACAGTAATGATCTGAATTATTAGTATGTGGTAAGATCTTTGTGTGTTCAGGAAAGAGATAAAAATTATCTGAATTAAAACAGAAATTCTCCACAAACTGAACTATAGATTCAATACAATTCCAAAATAAATGCAAATAGGGATCATTTTATAGAAGTTAGCAAGCCAATTCTAAAATATTTGAGGAAAAGCAATAGCTCATTAATAGCTAAGGTACTTCTGAAGAAGACAAAGAAGGAAGATACTTATCTGATATGTGTGTAGTATACACTTGTATTCATTAAGAAAGTGTAGTTGTGGTATAGAGATAGACAAAACAAAATAACTCATAATGAAACAGAATACAGAGCCAAGAATCTAACACCCTTTCCTCCTAAATGTGAAAACTTATGACAAAGACAGCATTACAGAACAATGAAAGAATTAGCTATTCTTCCTCAGTCAGTAACTGGAAATTAAATTCCTCTTTCACACCATACACAAAAATCATTTCCAAGTGAAGTAGAAGCTTAAATATAAAAGATTAAACTTTAAAACATTCACACCAAAACTAAAAGAGAATATAAACGCTTCAAAGGATTCTTAAGAAAGACAAATAAATACATGAACTATAAAAAAAGCAAATTGCAAATTCCAAAATCAATATAAAATAAAATGGCAAAATATTCTAAATAAGGGAAAGGATATTTACAACACATAAAATGGACAAAGGTTAGGTACCAGAATAAAGAAAGAACTCCTACAAATTAGTTTTTAAAAATACAATTTAAAAATTTGTTGTAAAAAACAAAAGATATATTACCAGGAGGAAATACTAAATGCCAGTAAATAGGAAAAGATGCTTGTAGAGAAAATATAAATAAAAGCTCCAATGAATAGGATTTTACATCCAAGAGATTGCTAACAAATTTAAAAACAAATTTGATGATATCAAGAGTTGCTTTGAATGTGGAGTAGACAGTTACTTTTATATATATACTGTTACTCTGGAAATCAATCTGATGTTATCAACACATAGTCAAACTTAAAATGTGCACACCTATGAGTTCTGGTGTGACTTCCCAGATAGTTCAGTGGTAAAGAATCCGCCTGCCAAGTAGGAGACTCAGGTTCAACTCCTGGGTGGAAAAGATAGCCTGGAGAAGGAAATGGCAACCTACTCTTATTGTTGCATGGAAAATCCTAGAGTGGCATGGTACATGACTTAGCAACTAAACAATAACAATGATTCCAGGCATTTATCATAAAGAATCTTGCCCATGTGTTCCTAGAAACATATATTCATTGTTTATAAAAGTAAAAACAAAAACTCAATATATTCCAAAGTCTATTTATAGAAGAACAGATTTATTGTATTAATTGAACATTCATATACTGGAATACTATACAGCAATGAAAATGAATGAACAATTTCTGATGTATCAACATGGATAAATCTTAAAAATATAATGCTAACTTCAAAAAAAGCTTGCTTTCCAAAAAAAAGCAAGTCACAAAATAATAATAGCACAATACAAAAAATGGATAAAACTAAATGATATGTTGCTTAGGGATAAATTTGTATGTGGTAAAAATATAAGGAAAGTCCAAGAGGTTGTAAAAACATGATTTAGGAATGCGGTAACCTCTGGGGAAGAGAGGGGATATAACTAAGCAGGAGCACACACAGAAAGTTCATAGGTATTGATAATGTTCTACTTTTTTAACCTGAGTGGTAATATATGTGTGCTCATTTTATTGATCTTTTCAAAAGCTATAAATTTAATATTCTTCTAATTCACTTGCATAATATATTTTGTAATTTTAAAGTAAAAGTGTCTGCCAGGGTGAAATTCATTAGGAGACCTCCCAATAGAAAAGTATCTCAGTAGTTGAATTCTGATTTTTCTGTAGAAAGTTAAACACATTTGCTTTGAATAAAAATTTAATTAAAATATATCAAAGTACAGCTACTAATAAAGGGCTTCCCTGGTGACTTAGACAGCAAAAAATCCACCTCCAATGCAGGAAACTTGGGTTCAATCTCTGGGCTGAGAAGATCCCCTGGAGAAGGATATGGCAACCCACTGCAGTATTCTTGCCTGGAGAATCCCATGGACAGCAGAGCCTGGTGGGCTACAGTTCATGGAGTCACAAAAAATCGGGCATGACTATGTGACTAAGCACACAGCACAGAAATACAGCTATGAATAAAGTAGCATAAAAATGAATTAAATTTTAAGAACTGTTTTTGGTTAGCTAAATCTCTCAAGGCTAAAAATAATGTGAATTTGTTTAGGTATAAAAAATAAAGGGTATAAGACCATACTTTTAAGTTTTGTTGTTATTTTATGTATTAAGAAGATATGTATAGCTCATATTGCACTGACTTTTATCAATCATTTATTTTGAGAATGTCTTAATATAAATGATTTGTTAAATAAAAATAATAAGACTGAATAATTACCTTTTCCCCTTCCCAAAATTTACAAATATATCCCTATACAAGAGCTCCATAAATAACCAAAAATAAAAATACCAAGCTCAAGTATTAAAAGTACAATCTGAGACTTCTTAACATTAGCAGCAACCCAAAGGTTTACTTATAAAGGATTTTGGTATCAAGTTAAGAAATGATAACCAAGCAACTTTAAAAAATAAAATGGATTCTAAGAAATGCCAATCTGTTTTAATAACTCAGTTGTGGAAATCTGATTTGATTTTAACAATTTTAAGAAAAGTAATGAAAATTAATCATTTTAATTTATAGGTGGCAAATAATTCATTTCAATCATCAATTATTCAAGCAAAATGAACTTCTAAAATATCAAAGAGTACAAAGTTAATATATTGAGTCTGTTTTTATCAAATGTCTAAAAATTAGGCAAAACTTAACTGTTTCATATTCATGTTCAAAGTACAAATTCAAGTTTATAATCCACAGGCCATCAGAGAAATCTTGTTTGTTTTTTTTCAATCTGAAGGAATTTAGTTTTTATCATGCTAACATACTTTTAAACAGTATTAACATAAACATGAATGTGGTAAATTTATAGATACTATTTAGTAAAACGTATATACAGAAGACAATACTGCAAAACAGGCATAAATTTTTTAGAAATAAATGTGTGTCATATAAAACTTTTAAAAATATTTTTAGTAAGAATAGAGTTAAAAGTAGTGCAGCTTTATTTTTAACTAAATAAAACTTTTCATATTAAGATTCTTATTCACAAAAACTGAGTGCCTAATTCAGTCAGTTTGTAAATTCGCAATACAGAGAATATATGCATGCATTTAATATATGTTACATATTAATCCCCAAAGTAAATGGCTAATTACATGGTTAAGCTACAATATTATTAATTAGATTTACTTTATACATTAAAACCCCATTATTATAGGCTCTATTTTGTTTTCGAACGGTGATCATTTAAGTAATGATCGTTTTATCTTTAGTATGATAATGACATAATATTTTTGTAAGTGACTGTGAGTAGGATAATTAACTGACTAAATAAAATGTTATTATAAACCCATACACTAAATCACACTGTTCATATCTGTTTAATACTGCAAAGCCTATAGAATCTTTACTTGCTAATTATTAGCTGCTTAAGAGATCACTTTTACTGAACCAAGTGATATACATTTGTTTCCTTTGGATATTTCATGGAATCATTATTAATTAATGAGGTTTTAATCATTATTAATTAATGAGGTTTTAATCATTGTACTTGTTAATAATGTGGAGAGAATAAACACAGTAATGAAGCTATTATTCCTAGAAATTAAGGAAATGAGAAATATTATTTTATTTTATTTATTATTTTTTTTCATTTATTTTGATTAGTTGGAGGCTAATTACTTTACAATATTGTAGTGGTTTTTGCCATACATTGACGTGAATCAGCCATGGATTTACATGTGTTCCCCATCCCGATCCCCCCTCCTGCCTCCCTCCCCATCCCATCCCTCTGGGTCTTCCCAGTGCACCAGCCTTGAGCACTTTGTCTCATGAGAAAAATTATTTTAGAAGATCACTTTTTAAAGGAAATTCATTTGAATGCTCTCTGAATATGTGATAATAATAAACTGATTGCATTTATGAGTGAACATAAATTTAACTAATAAGATTTCCATGCCAAATGAATATTTCTTATGGTATAAAAGCATAAATTTTTAGTCTTAAACTAAAAGATTTTGTCATTTATTATCTAGCTATGGATATAACAACTGACACAACTGAGTAACTAACACTTTTACAACAAAAAACAGTAAAACATAATAGAGTATATAATTGTTATTAGTTTCATAAGACTGAATTAAGGCAGATCTTTTGATAGCATTTGAATGTTTCATATGTGTTACAATATTATCTACATACAATCTTTCTAGGAGACAAGGTTACTCTACCATGATGCCAGCTGGTAAATGTTTGACATTGGAGTTTCATAGAACCCCTCTAAGGGCAGTGAGGATATACCATCAATAGTATTATATTGGAGACCTAATGGAATTGATTGAAAATATTACCCATAGAGACCACTGGCTTCTAAGAAGGATACGATCAGTGCCAGGAAACAGCACTGCACCTTTTATCATTTCTCCCATGATGCACCCTACTGACCACATGTCAACTGAAAACAAAAATGAAATGAAGATAAACAAGAAGACAGGAATAGAACAGCAAATAAACAAAAACACTTCACTACCCAGGCCTTGGAGCAATGGTCTGACCTTTTGCTGACTGGATAACAGTGCTTTAAAACACTTAACAGTGCTTTAAAACAGTGGGGTGGGAAGAACGCAAGAATGTCAGGGCCCTTTCTGCTATGCAACTGAACTAACCATGCCATTCAATGCCACCTAGTGTATGATAATATTACTTTGCAATTATAATGCAATGATTAATTTAGGTTCTGATTTAAAAGGTCTAATTTGCATTCATCTCCTAGAATCCTACTGATTTGTATTGTAAATTATTCTAGATTGTGTTAATGTGGGAAACATGCAAATTGGTTTCTCTTTCATTCTTTTGTATACCATACTTGGAGAAAGAAAAAAAAAGAAAGACTGAGCTGCCTGCAACCTCAGAAGAAAGGGTTTCTTTTACAAAACACACTTACTCTTATTTATAAATATGAATAAATTTCCGGAAGTGAAATGCCAGTTCAAGAATGAGTGTTTTGGAATATGCTGGTTCAGTTTCATTGACTCTCACCAAAGAATTATGTTTTTAAACAGGAAGCTTTGTCTTATTCTCACAAAAACAATTGCTTTCTAACTGTCCTTGGTTACTCACGTGTTCCTACTGAAAACTCAGAAAGAAAGATAGGTCATTCTTATGAGGAAAATTAACCTAGAAGAATAAGGGAAGTTGAGGGGGAACAAATAGGGAAAGACATTAAGATAGCACACTAGAATTTTGCTCCACTTATTCTTCCAGTTATATATTGCAATTTGGCAGTGACCTTACAGAATTCCTTGAGATTCTTTCCCAGGTGAAGGTCTCACTCAGGTTAAATGCAAGCTTTGACCAAATACCTAAACAGAGTTACCACTGCAAAGAAACGGTTATAGCTATGAAGGTGACAAGCATACCCAGAGAAGCAAATTTGTCTTGCTTCCATTTTAGGAAAGCAAGTGACATGCAAAAAGATCAGGAAAAGATAGAGCAAACAGTTGTGCATCCCTTTATTATTAATGCATTTGGAATTCAAGATAATATCTGTCTCACAAGAGGTTGGTATTGTGAGCACTTTGATTAAAGGGCAAAAAAATTCTCTAAAACAAAATTTGCTTTTGAATTGCAAATAGTCTTATCATCAAAGTGACCAGTCTAAGTTGTTATTTACTATGTATCTATTTTTTAGAGATTCTGTGGGAGAGAGAGATTTTTTTTTTTAAAGAGAGAGAACTAAAGGCTTAATAAGCAAGGTTTTCTCTCTCTTTTTTTTTTTTTTTTGCAAGGTTTTCTCTTGCCTGCATCAATTTAAACATTTGGGAATAGGTTATTTCTGCCACAAACCTATCTGCTAGTTAAAAAACATCTATTTCTATATTTTATTTAATGAAAAAATATCTTTTATGTTATGTCTGGCAGATATTCATTTTTTTTCTGCTGCAGAACCAACACCATTGCTTTCTAACTGTATGTGTGTGTGTTAGTCACTTAGCCGTGTACAATTTTTCGTGACCCCATAGATTGTAGCCTGCCAGGCTCCTCTGTCCATGGAATTCTCCAGGCAAGAATACTGGAGTGGGTTGCCATTTCCTCCTCCAGCAGATCTTCCTGACCCAGGAAACAAACCCAGATCTTCTGCATTGTGTCTGTCTGAGCCAGCAGGGAAGCCCAGGCTTCTAAATGTATCAACTTGGCCAAGTTACTGCATCTTTCTTTTCATCCTCTGAAACGTGGATGACAGATAGCATTTATCATGTAAAAAATTTTTTAAGACTTAAAAGGATTATGCCTGGTAAAGATCCTTCCACATTGCCTGGCATATTAAGTTCTCAATAAACGTCTGTTATGTATCATGTATTTTGTATATATGTATATTAGAATTAAATATACATAGAGAAGGCTTATTCATTTAATATTTATATACTATTATACTATATCCTATATTAATGTCAGTAATTAAGAAATTTTTCCAATGAGGGAAGCTTACCACTCACTAAGCAATCCTTTTCACTGTTGAAATCACTTTGAAAGGCACTCCACGTATTAAATCACAGTTGACTCCACAGAATTTCTCTCCATTATCTAAATCGGAATTATCTTGTTCTCTAATACAAATAATAATCTTAAAATAGAATCTATGACCCCTGACTACTCTTGCAAAACTGACAAATTTTCCTCTTTCAGAATAGAATCCCTTATGTTTTCTTCTCCCTCATCTATGCCTTTAAACAGCAAGAGTAACAGCAGATGACCTACAAGAAGTCTTAGTTCTGGGGCTACTTCAATCTCACTTGCTGGTTTAATAACTGCTGTGTCTCCCAGTTCTCACTTATGTGACTCTGCAGGATACAGATATTCCAAAGTAACAGCAGATCATTTTTGGAAATATATCTTCATGATAGAAGCTACAATTTTAGACTTAATAGATCACAAAGCTTTTGTGTGAAAATAATGCAGAGAGATACAAACTCAAGATCTGAACTACTGATGAAAATACTGAATTCCATTTTCTTTATTTAATGTACCTTTTTTGAGTTATAATACCCTGGAGACCTCTCCAAATTCCAATTTCCATTTAACTTTCCTCACAATTCACTATTCCTACAGACTCCCCATGCTGTGCCACAGAAATGCTAAGCCTTATGCCTGGCCTGGAAGCTAAATTGGTAAAGAATCTGCCTGCAATGCAGGAAACCACCTGCAATGCAGCAGACCCGGGTTCAGGGTTCAAGCCCTGGGTCAGGAAGATCCCCTGGAGGAGGAAATGGCAACCAACTCCAGTATTCTTGTCTGGGAAACCCCATGGAGAGGAGCCTGGTGGATTAGAGTACATGGGGTCGCAAGAGTTGGACGTGACTTAGTGACTAAACCACCATCACCGTTATAAATTACAAAAGGGGTAGTAGATGCACATGAGTCTATATAGATTTTTATTACTCAAGACAGGATGAAATGTCAAGAGAACGTCATTGCAACAGCTACCAGTGAGGGATTTTATTAATTAGTCATCACAACTAAAACAAGAAATAGGTAATAAAAGAATTTGGTACTAGATCTTTTTAAATCTTTTGGGGATGAGGGGTGATAGTCCTCCCTCAACTAATACATCTATATGCTTATCAAGCTGAGACCAGATTATTTTATGAAAATTTCAAGATATTCCAATGAATACTGACTGTGCATAGACCTTAGAAGAAATTGGCAAATTCAGTCACAGTTGGAAACTGGATTTTGTTGCTCTCTGAGACAGTCTGATATGGTATCTGAGTCTCCATAAGATGTTTGTACACTAATGCCACCCAGGCAGAATTCTAGTTCCTTCCATGATTCTGATCATTACATTCCTCTCATCATCAGTATTTCCAGAGAAAGCAGATTCATTTGCAATTGTGGCACACAGAAACTGATTTGCTTTCCTTTAAAGGAATGTTTAGTAAAGTTTTGATGTTACTAAAATATGGTTATCAGTCTTCTAAGGGAGAAAATCTCAAGTGTATCATTTGTCAGGCATTAGGTTATGCTAAATTATCATTTTTCTACTCTAGTCGAGAGATAGAAATAAAATAGCATAGGTCGTGACAGTTTAAATCTAAATATTTATTGTTGTTTAGTCGTGTCTGACTCTTTTGCAACCCCATGGGCTGTAACCCACCCGACTCCTCTGTCCATGGGATTTCCCAGGCAAGAATACTGCAGTGGGTTTCCATTTCCTTCTCAAGGGGATCTTCCTGACCCAGGGATCAAACCTGCATCTCCTGCATTTGCAGGCAATTCTTTACCACTGATCTACCGGGGAAGCCACTGGTGAAGAAAATGGCAACCCACTCCAGTATTCTTGGTTGGGAAATCCCATAGACAAGAGGAGCCTGGTGGGCTACGGTCCATGGGGTTGCAAAGCCTAAGACTTGACTTAACAACAACAAGGTTGTGTCAGTTTAAATCTAAATATAGAAAGCACTTTATTGCTACTTCCACACCCCAGTGGCTTGTTTTGTGATTTATGATGAAATATTTTTTGGACTATGTGAGCTTCTATCCAGCAAGCTGACAAATGTTTCCTGTCTAGGAGATTATGCGGTTCTGATAACACAATTATGAGCCCACACTGCTTTTCTCCTTAACCTAATTATATCTTCATTTAGCATAGGATTCAGACAATGGGTTTTGATAAATCTTTCAACAAGCACTTCAAAGTACAATAGAAGAAGATTTAATATGGTTTTCTAAAATCAAAACACCACTTCTTTAAAATGTTTGCTTTAAAAGTTCAAAATTTAATTAGATATTTTACAAAAACACATTGTTTTAAACTTTAGTGCAAAGATAGAATTATGAAAAACTACAGATATGCATAAATAAACTGTGAATGTACATATTTTGCACCTGTGGATCTAACTAAGAAAAAGAAACAACACTCATGGAACACAATGCTAAATATTCTAGTTCCAAGAAACAGAGGAAGATTTTTCTCCTTGGGTCTACCTATTCAACTTGGTTTTCTTTCTTTATAACTTTTATGGCATCATATTAATTTTTAACCTTCATTTTATAGATGTTATACCATTGATTTTCTTTTTTAACAAAACAGAATAAAATCCATTGAAACTTACTATAAAGAAGAAAATCTTTAGCTTTATGTTAAACTATAAATAAAACTGTAGACTAATAATTTTCAAAATACTCTGCCATAAAAAGGCTTAAGTCATTTTTTATTGCACCAAAATATTTTAAATTGTTATCTTTAAAATCTCTATAATTCTGCAGTGTGTATAAATAGGGAATCTGAAGAAATCCTAATGTTGGAAAAAAATTTTTTTTTCTTTAAACTTTTCATGTTTTGATGAACACACAGTAAATGCTTGGCTCTGAATGTTTCACATTATCACCAAATTAAATACAAGCTCCCTGAAGATTGGGGTAATTATCCTCATTTCATTTTACACATCAACTTGC